CTCTTACCTCCCAAACACCTCACCACCTCCCCAAACACCTCACTACCTCCCAAACACCTCACCACCTCCCCAACCTCCACCTCTTCTACCTCTGCTACCTCACCTCCTGCCTCTTGCCTCACACCTCACACTCTGAACATCCTCTCCTCTTCCCCAGCACTCACCACACATCTACACCTCTCATCACCCCAACATCATACTGTCTCTCATCCTCACCATCCCCCAAGCCACTCCTCATCTAGCCTCTCATCTTTAAAACACCTCCTTTCTATCTAGACATCCTCACCACTCCCCAAACACCTCACTGCATCTCCAAACACCTCTCCCTCTTCAAAACATCCTCACACTCTGAACACCTCACTACCTCCCCAAACATCCTCACTACCTCCCAAACATCCTCACCTCCCCCAAACACCTCTCCTCACCCACACTCTACCTCTACCTACTCACCTCTCCTCCCCAAACACCTCACCACCTCCCCCAACCTCTACCTCTACATCCTCTCCCAAACATCCTCTCACCTCTTAAACACCTCCTTCCTCTCCTGCCTCACCACCTCTCCTCACACACTCCCCAGCACCCTCACTGCATCTGACCTCAAACATCTCACTCTCAACTCTCCCTCTCAACACCCCATCACTCATCTACCCTCCCACACTCATCACACCTCCTCCCCAAACATCCTCACCACCTCCCCCAAACACCTCACCACCTCCCCCCAAACACCCTCTCCTACTAACCCCTTACTCCTTACCTCTAAACACCTCACACCTCCCCAAACACCTCTCCACTCCCTAAACACCTCTCCTCCTCACATCTCAAACACCTCTACCTCTTACCTCACCTCTAAACACCTCACCACTCCCTCACTCATATATTCCCTCCTTACACTCTTCACTCACCTCAGACATACACTCTCCCTTCACTCACCCATCAACTCATCTACCATCTCTAGACATATCATCATCTTTGAACGCCTCACCACCTCCTGACGCCTCTCCTCTAAACACCCATCACTGCATCTCAAACCGCCTCACCGCATCTGAGCACCTCACCACTCTAACATCCTCCACTACACTCCCATTCACCTCACTCTCCCAAACACCTCACCACCTCTTACCTCACTACATCCCCCCAACACCTCACCACCTCCCCCTCACTACCTCCCCCAAACACCTCACCACCTCCCCTCACTACCTCCCTCCTCTCCCCAAACACCTCACCACACTCCCCTTATATCTCACCACCTCCCCCAAACCTTACTCACTCACTCTCAACACCTCACACCTCTTACATCTTGCCTCCCCATCACTGCACTCCCCAAACATCATCACTCACCTCCCCAAACATCACTCACCCCCATACAAGAGCACTTACATCACTGCCTCTTGCATCATCACTCACCTCCTGCATCTGAACACCCTCTGCACCTCTCTTGAGCCTCCTCACTGCATCTTTAAACATATCACTCCCCAAACCTTACATCACTCCTCTTTGAACATCCTCCCAAAACATCCTCACTACCTCCCCAAACACCTCTTCACCTCTCCCAAACACCTCACCACCTCCCCCAAACACCTCACCACCTCTATACCCTCTACACTCTTTCAAACACCCTCCTTCCCCAAACTTGCCTCACCACCTCTTACCTCTTACCTCACACAAACATCCCCTCACACCTCCCAACATCCTCTCATCACCTTTGCCTCACTGCCTCTCACATACATCCCACATATCATTCTCCATCCTGCATCTTTAAACGCCTCTCATCTTAACGTCATCACCGCCTCTTTAAGACATCCTCTTCCATCTACACCTCACTGCCTTTACATCCTTGCATCTGCCTCACTACCTCCCAAACATCCTCACCCACCTCTCACCACCACCTCCCCAAACACCCTCACCACCTCCTAAACATCCTCCTCACCTCTAAACCTCCTCACCACCTCCCCAAAACATCCTCACCACCTCCCCCAAACACCCTCACACCTCTCACACCTCACCTCACCACCTCCCCAAACACCTCAGCCTCCCCCAACATCCTCACCACCTCCCCCAACTCATCTCTCACCACCTCCCCAAACACCTCCTCCCTCTAACACCTCACACTCCCTCACCACCTCCCCAAACACCTCACCACCTCCCCAAACATCACTCTCCCATCTCCTCATCACTCCTCTGCCTCATCACCCATCTTTACACCTCGCCTACCAGACGTCCTCCCCACTCTGAACCCCCCATCACCTCATCTCAAACATCCTCTTCATCTTTAAACACCTCTCACTCTCAAACATCCTCACCACCTCCCCAAACACCCTCCTCACTCCCCAAACATCCTCACCACCTCCCCCAAACACCTCCACCACCTCCCCCCTCACCACCTCCCCCAAAACATCCTCACCCTCCCCCAAACACCCACCTCCCCAAACACCTCACCACCTCCCCAAACATCACTCTCCCCAAACACCTCACCACTCCCCAACATCTCTCACCTCCCCAACACCCTCACCACCTCCCCAACATCCTCACCACCTCCCCAAACATCTCTCCCCTCCCCAAACATCCCACACTCAAACACCTCACCACCTCAACACCCTCATACCTCTTTTCACCTCTCCTCTAAACATCCTCACCTCTCCCTCTTCCTCCCCCCAAACATCTCTTCCACCACTCCTCATACATCCTACCCTCCTCACCACATCTTCCCCTCACCTCCTCCCCAAACATCCTTGCCTCCTAAACACCTCACCACCTCCCCAAACATTCCCACACTCCCCAAAACACCACTCACCTCCCCCAACACCTCTTACCTCCCCAAACACCTCACCACCCCCAAACATCCTCACCACCTCCTCCCAACCACCCTCTCCAACCCTCCCCAAACACCTCACCACCTCCCTCAAACCCTCACCACCTCCCCCAAACATCCTCACCACCTCCCCAAACACCCTCACCACCTCCCCAACACCTCACCTCCCCCCAAACACCCTCCCTTGGCTGGAACCACAAAAACCTACCACATGTCAGTTCTGAGATCAGAGGAGTAGGCGGAGGACTAATGCCGGAGGGCAACCAGGTTCTGCGTATCATTTTGGTTCTCTGTTCTTCACTGGAGACCAAGGAACACGTTTAGTTGTTTTTTTGGGGGGTAATAACAAAACTCGTGCAATAAATTTTCTCTAACTGGAGTTATTAATATTTGTCTAAATACGTGTTGAGTTATCAGTTAAAATGCTGCTGAAAGTACTGTACACTGCCACTGTACAATATAGCATTGATGTGTTGTCTTACCCCACAGGAAAATAACTTAACATATAATGTGTGAGAATATACGAGATAGATTACCTGTTGATACCAGGAGCAAACTTTGTGAATGATCACAAGTCACGCAGAAATGCATGTGATTTAGGTAGTAGTATTGCTTGGTGACACATCTTCATGGTGAGAATAATTTCCTTTGCTGAGACTTGAGCTTTAAATGCATAGTAAGACATTATACACTTTTATACACTCTACAGTTTGGTTGTCTCACCTGGTCCCCATTAACCACATTTCTTTGGACGACTTTTTTGGCCGTGGTCTTACGTCAGTTTGGGTGGCTAGTTAAACTACATTACAGGCTCCTCCACCAACCCACAAAACACAGCACCACACACACACACCACAGTACCATACTCAACATCACCACACACATACCACGATATCAAACAGCCCCAGCTGTTACCAACACCTCTTCCCTCCCCGACCAGATATCCCTCCTCCTAGTGACACGCCTGGCACTTGATATTATTAGGGACCTGCCACGCTTTGCTATAAACAGATGAAATGTACCGGGAACTTTCCCCCCACACACTCATCATTCTCTCACTTTATGTAACAGCAAACCTATGACCCTTTAGTACGCCCATGTGTACAGTCATAAAAGGCAAGTATGAACTTTGCATACTTCCCAGATCGGCGCTGTAAACGCTTCTGCGCTTCACCTTGCACAGGATGTAAGGGGGTGCCCAATAAACTAGCCCCCTCGGGGGCAAATCTGAAAATCTGAATCTGATATCAAACAGAGCAGTAAAAGTGGGTCCCAAAGGTGTGACGGTTCGCTCTGGATAGTTTACGGTAAATGTAGTACACTACATACTGCTTGTTGTACACGAGGAGGGAGCGTGGCCATTCACTGCACCTGGCTACCTTAACTTTCGCAGGTTAGGTATCCATTAACAGCTGGAAGAACTGAAAGTGTCCTGGGTTTGAACCAATGACCCTAAAGACAGAAAGCAAGCGCTGAATCCACTCGGCCGCCACATCAATAGTACCACACCACAAATGCCACAATACCACATTCAGCACCTTCATCACTATAACTACCACACCACAACTACTACAGCACCACACCAGTGCGAACACCACCACGTAGACTACATGAACACTCGACCCCTGCATACCCAAGTGCTGTTGGTTCAAATTCCCGCTGTCGTCTAGTGAGTGTGTGGGGAGATCCCAATCGATCCAGCCGCAGACAGGTTACCGCCTTATAGAGGTACAGTAGAGTAGCGCAGTGCCGGCCACTTTATCTCACTGTGTACCGAAGGTTCAAGCCACCAATGTCCCATATCCACACTGCTCCTGCAATGGCCCATCAGGCCTAAGGAACCTCTTTTACTGCATCATCCCCAAAACCATAACATTACACCTAGTATCACCATCATAAGTGTCGCATTACCTCACTCGAAACCTCTCAGTCAACTATTTCTATCAACCTGTAATTCTTGAACGTGTGGTAGCAGTCTTGTTGCCTGTACCCCTGCCGCAGAGTAACTGCGGCAGAGATCTCTAAACTCTGTCTGTTCAATGTCTTGGAGGAAATTATGAAGCTGATTAAAACAATTACCATGAGATGAAATTTAAATAGTTCATAAATCCATGAGTGGCACCTTACACACGAGCTTCCATATGTATATATAGGGGACCCAACCCTCGGCCCAGCGTGGTTCATACTACTACCGATGGTCGTTGATAGTCGCTGAAGAGAACCAGAGGACATCACTTGTCAACTTAACTCACAAGAAGGCTGGAGGGACGTCACCTGTCAACTCACCCGTCAGATAGGTTGAAGTGTCGTATTTCATCAGTTACCATACATTGAGATTTTTTTTGTGCTTAGTTTTTAGCTTGTTAAAAATATAATATTTTTAACAAATAGTGTATGTTAACTTTCTTAAGTAAATTATTATAACCTTCGTGGGAGAAAACAATGTCTCTCAGCTTATCTACATAAATTATCACCTTCCCAGGAACAGTAGACGCAGTTTTTTTCCTCTTAAAAAAATAAATGAATAAATAAATTGCCTGTGTTGTGTGCGGCTGTGACATCTTATCTTGATGGAAATAAGAACACAAACAGAAGATGAGCTGTTGTACCTGATGCCATCCTCCAAAGACAACAAAAACGGAAGTTACTTTTTAAAGTGTCTCACATTTGATCGGTCAGGCGGATTTTCAAATTTTTGTAAAGACGAGTAGTGGTATTAGCCTACTAATTAGTAGCTCTCGTGGTCCAGTATGACCAGTCTTTAAACCAGTTCAATGTTTGGCCCCTGCTATACCACCTTTGATATTGAAAAATAAAATAAACGTATTTCGATCCAGTGAGCATGACAGGGAAACCATTTTTCTATATTTATTACGTTCATGGGTTATGACTGTTCAAAAGTTTGTAAAGATTAGAATTTAGTTAAAAATCGACAAAAACAAATCCCATCAATAACGATAAAGTTTATGAAGATGAAACAATCTCAAGTTGGTTTATTTCCGCCTTGAATCTACATCAAAGGTTTTGTTCAACAGGGGATTTAAGTCTACTATCTAACAACTTAATTGATACATATTTCTTCTGTATAGTTAAAGGAGAACTCCGATTATTTTTCAGTTTGTTTTCTGATTGTTACACATCACGTCTTCAGTTGATCATCTGAATAAACTTCATTAATATCATCATTAAGCTCTAATGCCCAGTACGTTATCTGTAACTGATTGATGCTCTTCACTGTATAAATCGCTGTCATACAGTATACATAAGTTTATACATATTTACAATTTTCATTTAAATCGCTTTCATTTTTTTTAAGCTTTTCAGACTCGATCATTTGAGTGGGCATGTAGGGGTGTCGAGATATTAATGTTGTCTAGCACTCAGGATGGAAAGAAACTCTGATGTGGTCAGAATGAATCTCAATGGAGAGACAGAGCTTATATACCCAGCAGCCGCTATGAGTCATGTTGGGAAAACCGAGGTCGCCGTGAATAGGTTTCGTTGCTGGCTAACGTTTGGAATATGTATAACAGTGGTGGCGTGTACGCCAGTTTGTAGGGACGTCCACTGTCTCCCCCTCCCTCCAGGCAGTGTAGCTTGTTGTCTGTAGAAGTTCTTGCACATAGCAAACCGGCCTGTGCATGCCTCATGTGAGCAGCTGGCGATGGCGTATGATGAGCGTCCTTTAGCTACAACTGTCTGATACACACTATCTGTGAGAAGAAAAAAGTGTGTGTAGGCGTGGGATGTGTGCTTCCTCACACAGGTACAGGGGCGTCAGATGCGCCTGCTGGTGTGTGGGCCTGGGTCAGGAGCAGGGGCTGCGTCGCAGGGGCGGATTGGGCTCGTGACAGCAGCTGGGTCACGACAGCAGCAGGTGCAGGACATTGAGGACCTGAAAAAGTGGGAGGCGATGGATGTTGTGTGCTTCCGTCACGGCAGGCAAGTCGTCAGATGCGCCTGCTGGGGTGTGGGGCCTGGGACGCGTCTGGCAGGACGGGTGTGCTTGGGTTGTAGGATGTGGTGCTTGGGGCAGGCAGTGTCTGCTTGAAGACTGGGAGCGTGATCAGTGTCTCCTCCATCCTGTGTGAGTGCTAATCTCCGGGAGTCACCATTGTAGGAGTGTCGAGATATTAATGTTGTCTAGCACTCAGGATGGAAAGAAACTCTGATGTGGTCAGAATGAATCTCAATGGAGAGACAGAGCTTATATACCCAGCAGCCGCTATGAGTCATGTTGGGAAAACCCAAGAAGTCGCCGGTGAATAGTTTCGTTGCTAGGCAACGGCACGTTGGAATGTGATAGCAGGTGGTGGCGGTGCTACGCAGTTTGTAGGGGAGACGTCCACCACAGGCACTTCTCTGCTACAATTTTAGTGATTTTATGCAAAAAAAAATGCTTATATAACACTGGTTTGAAATCTTCCTTCTCTCCACAGGTTAAAAAAGTTTTCTTCTTTGCCGTGATAACGCAGGATGAACATCGTATTAGTAAGTAAAAATAAATCGCGTGTATATGATGGGGGTTGGGAAAAGGAGGTGGTGGAGGAGGTAGGGGGTTGGCTGACTGAAGGAACCAGAATGAGTAATATGTTATTGAGGCTTATTATGAACCCTAAAATACCTTGACAAATAAGAGATAATTATATAGACGGACACAAAACAAGATACCTTGAGCAAATATTCAATTGACATTTACATATTCTTCACCACACATTAATGAAGCGTTATTAGATTTCAGAAAAAAATATTACTATAATTTATATTATAAATTAAATATCAAATATTGATAAAGCTATGGGACACGGGTAGGGAAGGAAATAATAATATTCAGTAGTTCCTATGCACCACTGGCAACGTCCATGTTCCTTAAGAAATGAGATTGAAAATTCTTGCTAAAAAAAATTGGGTGACAGGCTCATGAATCTAATAACTTTGGGGAATTTATATGGACAGTAGCATTTAGGAGTCCGTATCCTATTTTCACCCGCTGTCTGTCACACCTGCAGGTGATGATGGTGATGTTGATGGCAACTGCATTGGTGGCGGCGCAAATAATTACCAGACCGAGAGACTTTCCCGGACAGAGGCGTCTAGGGGTGACCAACTACGGCACTCACAGCTTCGGCAAGAAAGGCTACAACGGCCAACCCGTTGCTAGTGAGTACTGTTGTGTGTGTATGACTCCTGTGTAACTGTCTTTGTCTCTCTCTCCCTTTGTTTATTACAACAGCTTAGTGGAAATTAATTCGTATTTGGTAAAATTTGCTATTTCAATTAAGACGTTGTTAACCACCATAAGATACCCAAATTATTCCTAAAGATGGTTAGGTAAGGTTAGGTTAGATTTCTATGAAACTATCAATTTATATGTATTATGATGATCAATATTATCGTTTATGGCCAATCAGATTTAAAAAAAAATCGGAAGCTATCTCTTTAGGGAACCTGATATAACACAGAACCTTACCTTAACTAGGTAGTAGGCAGCTACCAAACAGGGAGGTACTACCGCCTGGGAAGATATTGGAAGCATAATGTGTTGTCTAATGGTAGACCCTGCTGCCATATGTGACCAAGTCCCAGGTTGCTGATCTGACTTTCTGCCTCATTTACACACAATTGCAAGATTCAAATGTTTCTCCTACTATTGACAACACAACATACATATATTGTTTCTCACAATTTGATCTTTTTTTGTGTGTACTTCTTTATTATTATTATTATTATTATTATTATTATTATTATTATTATTATTATTATTAGTATTATTATTATTATTATTATCATCATCATTATTAATTTATTGTTTTATTTTCAAATTTGTATTTTTATTAAAATTTTTGTTTACTTTGAATTATTATTATTATTATTATTACATTTTCGCCCCAGGCCCCGATGTGGGTCAGTGACCTGTGCCCGGGTGGGCTAATCCCCGTAAAAAAAAAAAAAAAAATTCTTACTATATATCTAACTTCCTTTGGGTATAAATTGTCCGTCTTATGATGGTAAATGAAGTCAGTTCTTTTTAAAACCTAAATGGCGATTACCTTATTTACTTTCACAGGAATTAAGGATTTCCGGTTTGGCTGAGTCCTTTAGGTCCGTGCTCCGTAGCCTGACACGCAGCCTTAGCAGGGCCGGATTCAGGAGTGGGCAAAGTGGGCAGCTGCCCAGGGGCCTCCACAATCTGGGGGCCTCTGCATATCACAATATTTTATTTATTTGTTTATTAATTTGGATTATTTTTATTTTCATTCTTTAAAATTCATGTTTATCTATTCCATCACGTAAAACTATGTTCAGCAAGAAGCGTGATAAAAATTAGGCTAGCTACTCCTTGAAATTCATGAATACCTGGTTTTCCTATGAACAGTATATTTTTATTGAATGATATTGTTTGTGTTGCTAATAATATATTTAGAATTCCACAAACATATATTGATTAAAAATGAACTACATGGAATAACGAAATTGAGATTAAAAAAAAACAAATAAAATATTTTTTTCATTATTACTTCCATTACGAATGCCATCAGGGCGCTGTGTTTGTTGACAGTCGGTCGGAGGGGGTTGGGTCGTGTAGTATCTGCACATCGGTTGTCATGTGTCTGTCGATTAAAGAGGAGACTTGCGTCGCCCATGATTCGTGAACTTCCCACTAGTAGACATAAACATGTCTTGCAGACGTAAAATGAGAGAGAGAATTGTCATGTGTGCTTGTTGAGTGAAGTCGTCGCCGCTCAGTGATGAATGATCTTGTCAGGTGTCATTTCCTTGAACATGTCTTGCAAATGTTTTACTATTGGATGCAAAACTTCAATTTTCTTTATAGTTGAGTTAATACTTATTCTGAATCTATCTGACCTTGGGCTTAACGAAGCCTATACATGCATTCTTGGACAGAACCATTATTTGAGTAGAGGTTTATCTGATTAATAATGCAAAGAATCATCTCTCTGTAATAACTAATATTATATTCTTTTCTGTGAAGTCTCTTGAAAATTTTTGACATGTGCGGTAGTAGCTATATCAGGGCTGGTCGACTTGAAACCACATGAATGACTCCAGTCATGTCTCACTTTTGTGTGTGTGTGTGTGTGTGTTGGGAATTTGTACACTTTCAATAAATATACAGTTAATTAAAAATTTCTCAATGTTCTAATTTCCTCAATATAAATGCATATGGCTTCAAAATTCTCCAAAGAAGTGTTCAAATTTCAAGATTTTCCCGGGGGGCTTACAGCGCCGCCCGGAACTCCCAGATGTTTAGGCTCGCTTCACTCGCCACCCCACCCTCTTGGGTAGTTATAATGAGGGAGCCTCCACAAAGAGGCTGCCCATGGGCCTCCAAAGGTCTAAATCCGGCACTGAGCCTTAGTGATCTCTGCTGTGATTCCTCCACACAACACAACTACTGTACATAACATTACTGATGGCCGCCTCGGAACCACTAAACCAATATCTGTCATATTATTTGTGACTTCTGGTTTATTCTGGTTATGTATGTATGTATGTATGTATGTATGTATGTATGCATGCATGCATGTATATATATATATATATATATATATATATATATATATATATATATATATATATATATTTTATATATATATATATATATATATATATATATATATATATATATATATATATATATATATCGTTGCTGTCTTTATTCAAGACATCTTCAGTTGCCTCTGAAGATGTCTTGAATAAAGACGAAAGCTAAGGTGCTCCGTTGTTTCCCTTTTCCCGTGTGATTTTATCAAGATTTATCTTATCCACGTTTTCATTGTGATCTATGAAATAAAAAATATATATATATATATATATATATATATATATATATATATATATATATATATATATATATATATATATATATATATATATATATATATATATATATATATATATATATATATATATATATATATATATATAGGCTATATATATATATATTCTTATCCAAGTTTTCATTGTGGATTTATATAAAATATATATATATATATATATATATATATATATATATATATATATATATATATATATATATATATATTGCAATCGAACATTCAAGGTCGTTTCCTGGCAGAATTGGATGAATACAACAACTTTTTGCCATAAGATGAAGTTAGTTTTAACGAATTCTGCATCCGTACCTAAAGTTTCCTGTTTTTTTCAGCAAAAATCATTGATAATTTTACTTCCATATTGGTTTCTCCAGTAATCTCATGCATTCTTATGTTATTGCATTTATTTATTCTTGTATTTGGAATTTTATTTTATATAAGTTCATGTTATCAAATACCGTATATTTATGATTATACTAATAACAGTACTGTATATGCCTTATTTGAATTACAACCTCAGCTTTACGTTGTTAATGTTATAATGCATTATTGCGTTTCAATAGCTAATGCCTCTAAGTGTGAATTACTTGATTATTTTGTACCGGTATACTAAATCATCAACATTAGAGAAAACTATGACAAATCCATCTCGCTGTTTTTACGTTGTTGTTGAGATCACAGTTATTAACATCTAATGACTGGTGTTGGTTTTCATCTCGCCTGCGAGGAATGTTGTGGAAGGTGAGACATACCTTACATTAGGTCCGGCTTTAACCTTCCACGACGACGGCAGCCATAAAGTTAAGATTTTGGAAACTAAGTTGTTTTCTTAATAAAGGTAAGAAATCCATTGATATTGATATATTTTCATATACCTCAAAAGATAATATTTTTCCGCTGTCGAGCAATAAAATGAACGACCCCTTACCTCAGTGGTGGTGTGTACGACCTTCCACCGCCTACTTAGCCTTGACTCGGCTGAAGTAAACCTGCTTGCTGGAGACTCTTAAGAGGCCAAATTGTACCGTTAAATCCGTCAGACTGTAACATATCTCGAAAATTTGCAGACAGACACCAGACACTCATTGTTTACATTTGTTACACTTGTATTGTATATTCCTGTTAGTTATGTAGAGTTAGTTTCTCAAGGTAAGTCATATAGCTCTTGGAGATATGGTAGATGATCTACAATATGAACAAGCTCACTTAAGACTATAAGCCAGAAATTTTAATTTTAATTCAACACACACGCACACACAAACGCACACATTATTCTTTAGGCCTATTCCTGTTAGTCAAGGTAGCCGGAATCAAGAACACTCTCACGCACACGCTCCCTGCACTCTTTATTATAAATTAATATAGACTATTGCAATAAATATGTTATCTGGCATCTCTCTTCACAAGAAGACTTGTAATATTTACCTGGTGTACCCCTGTCGTCTTGCACACCCACCAGCACCCATTGGCAACACCTTTCCAAAAATCACTGAACACAACATATGTATGTACAGTATATATATATATATATACAGTATATATATATATATATATATATATATATATATATATATATATATATATATATATATATATATATATATATATATATATATATATATATATATATATATATATATATATATATATATATTTTTTTTTTTTTTTTTTTTTTACGGGGAATAGCCCACCCGAGCACAGGTCACTGACCCACATCAGGGGCCTTGGGAGCGAAAATATAATAATAATAATAATAATAATAATAATAATAATAATAATAATAATAATAATAATAATAATAATAATAATAAAATAGACAAAAATTATAACCAAAAAATTAAAATACTACTAATAATAACCATAAATAAATACGCAAATGAAAAAGTAAATTAAGAGTGAGAAACGATATATGTATGTTGTGTTGTCAATAGTAAGAGAAACAATTGAGACCCTGCAATTGTGTGTAAATGAGGCAGAAAGTCAGATTAGCAACCTGGGACTTGGTCACAATTTTTGTGATGCCATATGGCAGCAGGGTCTACCATTAGACAACACATTATGCTTCCAATATCTTCCCAGGAGGTAGTACCTCCTTCCTGTAAAAGAGAGAAAGTGAAGCAACATTGCGACGAAGAGAAGGGGAAGAAAGATTATCAACTAAAGGAGGAGAGTTAATAAGACGAAATGCCTTTGATTCCACACTATCTAACAGTTGGACAGAAGAAGAGCCACCCCAGATATGAGAGCAGTACTCCAAGTTAAGACGAATGAATCCCTTATAAACTTGAAGCAACCGCTCAGGAGTGAAGTAGCTACAGTATCTGTACAGCATTCCCAGCTTTCTGGGGGCAGCTTTAGCAATGTTGTGAATGTGTGGCTTTCATGACATATCAGAGGAAATGGTGAGGCCTAGCATATCTACTTTAGAATTTGGCAGAATGATTGCGTCCTGATGTGTGATTGGTGAGGGACCATCTAATTTGGAAAGTGTATTCGGTAAATACTGTGTTTTGTTACTATTGAATTTAACCAAGTTTCTACCTCCCCATTCGGATTTGCTGCACAGATCCGCATTGATAGATGCAATAATATCAGCCTTAGAAACAGATTTAGTTTGAGAATTAAGGGGAAGGGAAAAATGTGAAGAAGAGTAAAGAGTAGAATAATCAGCATAAGAATGGATAGAATTCGTCGTAGTGTGAAGTAAATCATTGATAAAAAGAAGAGAGTAGGCGAGAGAACAGAACCCTGTAGGACACCATTATAGGTCGAGAAAGAGCGAGAGATCGATCCCTCGACAACAACTGCCATGGATCTGTTCTCATCTAAAAATCGTCAGTCTGTCTGTCTGTCTGTCTTAATCTACATGTCTTTTTTATGCTTATTGGTCTTTCTGTTTGCGTATGAGCGCTTCTCTCTCTCTTGCTTTTTGCATCCTAGGAAAGGCTCCTTCCTGATGGTCCCGTGTATATCTAGAATGAAACTATATACTCCTTCCAAGTATTAGGACCTCCGTATATCTGAATCACTCTCTCTCCTGCTCTCCCTCCCTCTCTAAAAACATAAGGCTAAATCATGATATCCCACCCATGATAGCCACCTTTGGGATCTGGGAAGCTGCAGTGACCAGCGGCATAGCGTCAACAGTCGACATCGCGGTGAGTCAGCATCTACAGTAATACTGTGCCACCATGCCTCGGGGTGAGGGTGGAACTGTGGAGGGGCATCGCCATGAGATGAAAAATAGTCTGATTTCGCCTTTTACTAACAGCGATTTTAAACTTTCACACCTCCTTATCAACTGTCTTTTTAATAGAAAAGAGGGTTAGTTATTAGATGCAAGTCTGGA